CCTTAGTCCTGTGCTCAACTTTTTCCTGGGTACTGTCCCAATGTTTCTGAGTGAAGGGTCTTTCTTCTGTGCTTCCTTCAGTTTCATGTAGATCTACATTCATGATGTTACCTTTCGAGACTTTCAGGGGCTTGATGTCTTGCTTGCTTTTCTTTTCTTGAGTTCTTGTAGTGACTGAAGATGCCTCATCAGCCTCCTTTCTGTCTAGTTCTTCCAAACGTCTACTGCCTGTTATATTTCCAATCACCAAATCATAGATTGGTGCCTTCATACACGTAGCTTCAAGGTATCCCATGTAGTATGAAGTGTCCACTTGTATTCTTGCTATTGAAAACTTTCACACTGTCCTATCAATCAGCACACATAGATGTACCTTGCCTTTCATCTATTCATCAGATACTAGACTGGTTCTCACTGCTGCACTCAGTGTCTCATAATACCTTCACTTCCTTCTTTCTTACGTAGCCTTCACCTCCTGGCATGTTACGGTTTGTTGGCACCTTCCAGTGTTTGTCACATGCTCCAATAACTACTGGCACTGTTGGCCCATTCACTAACTTGAGCTGACCATCAGTTGTACACTGTTTAATCACAGAGTAAGCACTTCCTTCTTATGGTGAATCTGATGTGTTGTTTTTGTTCTTTTTCTTCTGACAGTAGCATCCATAGTGATAGTCATTCTTTTCTTGTTTCTTGCTACTACCATCTTTGTAATTCTAGGTAGCTCCAGCTGCTTTATGTTGAGATTTCTGCTGTTGCTTGTTGGTGACAGACTTTCACTCACTCACAATGTGTCCCATTTTATAACAAGCATAGCATCTCTTCTCCTTTCTTTTTGTTGACTTCTTGTCATCTTTGATGGTATCATGTTTCTGGTCAGCCACTCCTTGTTTCAACTATAACCATTCTATAACTATAACTATTACCAGTTATACTCCGTCCATGGGCTTCCATATACTGTTCTGCCATCTTGATGATCTCGTTCATGTCTTTTGGTGCTCTCTCCTTTAGGAACAGTTACATGTTAGTGGAGCACATGATCAGGAACTGCTCACATATTAATAGATCTGCCAGTTCTTTAAAACTATTTCCACATTTGGCCATGTCAGTCCACCTTGTGAAGTATTGCCATAAGACATGCCACAAACTGAAATACAGCTTCTCCAGTGTTAAGTTTGACTTCTCTGAATTTCTGACGAAAACCTTCCTCGGTAAGTTCATAGTGTTTCAGCAATGCCACTTTTAACTTATCATAGTCTATAGTATCTTCTGATGTCATACCTGCATACACTTTTAGGCCTTTTCCTATGAGAAGGGAACTAAGACAGACTACCAAGTTGCCTTTGACTTTGGGCAAATATTTCATGTATCTCCAGGAAAGCATCCATGTCATCTTTGTGTTCATCAAGTTTGGGCAGTTTAGATCATTCTTGATCCTTCATCTTTCTGTTGGGTGAGCTTGGCAATCTCGTTTAGTGTCCTTATTCTTTCTATTTCCAGTCTCTCCTTTCTATATTTTTCTTCTTTCTGAATTTATTGTCTTATTCTCTCAGTTTGCAGTCTCTCCTCTCTCTCTCTCCTTTTCTTTTTCTCTGTTTGTATTCTTATTCTCTTTTCTGTGTCTCTCCTCCTCTCTCTTCTGTTGCTACTCTTCTCTCTCTAGTTTTTGTTGTTGTTTAACAAACTGTAGTAGAACGATATCTTTTAGCCAAAGTCGCTCACCTCTATCTATCCATTTATGAAATACAGTCAACATGGTTATATAACATGATTGTAATCTCTACACTATTTTTGCCACCACTACAGTTGTGCATATATAGGCTTACTTCCACTGTCATTCACATCTTCTTTTATTGCTGTTTACCACTGTATAATTCTCACTGGCTCACCAATGTCAACTTTGTATGGGCTGTGACTTTACAGTAGGTGTCTGTGACTTGTTGACGATAAATTTCAACAATAAACAGACAGCACACAATCCATTTGTTTTAAGATAATATATATTCAAAACAAATCAAACATATGAACAAAAATTTGTTACACTATGGTTTTTCACAGTTTTATCCATAGCTTTAAATAATTGTCTCTTTTACCATCAGAGTCCACACAGGTGGTTTCAATTACCTTAGAACACCCTTTGACAAGAAAAATTATTCTCCTCTGTCATTACGATAAAAGCTGTGAAACTTGCTTCAGAAAACACCATTATATGCTCATTATGGATGGCTAAACTCAGTCACCCAGTCTAACTTCACTATTTCCACTTTCACCAACTTATTTACTTCCACTAACTTGGTCTTCTTGGTTGAAGCCTAGAACTTTCTACAAACTTTGAGACGTTATGATGTAACATTACTCACTTAAAGCAACGAGAAAATTTCAGAAGGTTCGAGTAATGTAACATCAATTCACAACAACTGAACTACACAACAAATGATTCATAAACGGTTAAATAAGCAAACCTGTGTTAAGTTATTGCTTCTAAAATTTAACACTCGTACTTGATAACTATCTGAGTCATAACTCTTATATTAATTTTTTTATGAAATAGTCATGTATATCTAACAGCTTGCTATTGTTATGTGATCAGTCTTAGTCTTGGTCAGTTTACCTTGTTTAGGTATAATTATTGGACTTCTGACATCATTTATCCCAGATGATAACCCCAAACCTGAAGGCTTGAGTGCTGTTTTGCTAGTTTTTTAGAAAGAAGTGCTTGCTATAAGTTTCTTGAGTTTGACAAATGATGCTGAAAAGCAAAGAAATTAAGAATTTACATCAGAAAAGTGACTAATTTTATTAAACGATCTGATAATATTGGGACCTCCATTTTTTGTGAAATGCCACCATAATACAGTCTTAAGGCTATAGGCCTCTTTAAGTTTTTATAATGTGTTCAAATATAGTCATACATATTTACATTTGCAGGTGACAGACTATATTATCTTAAATTAAGAAATGATATTTTATTAATAAAACTTTGACTAATATTGACAGAAACTCCATTCACATCATTTTCAGACCACAAAGTTAACATATTTAATGTAGCTATTGTACCCATTTTCTTCAATACCTACTACAAATTATGATTAGGCATGCAATGACTTTCAATGACAATGTATTATGGTATTCTAACCTGTTGGATCTGTTCCATGATATTCATGTAAGTGTGTTGACAAATTTATAATCTCACCACTGAATTTCTTCTCTGTATGGCATGTTTTGCAAATATTAATGTGTTTTTGATCATCAAATGGCTGACTAAAATATTTCAGATTTTTGAAACAAATTCTGAAGGTGTATTTTTGTAAGTTTTTGCTGCAATATGTCCATTTCTGCAAGTGACATTTTAGACATGCATACCATTATCACCAGAAAAAGTTTAGTTAGGGTTCTTATATTTAACAACTAAATTAAATATAACAAGAAATGTGAAAATATAGCATTTTGAACCTATTTTATAAGTAGTACTAGATATATTTCAAGGTATAAATTATTTTAGATGGGTTTCTGAGAGATACAAAATAACATGTTACAAAACTGCTACCATGTTTGAGTGTTTAGCTTTGCATGTTTTATAAATAAATCTGCATTGTTGATATGGGATCTTTCTCTAATTGCATCATGAGAAGAAAGGCAGTTATTAGATACACATAAAAGTTAGAGGTTTATTGATAATTTTTGAAATATATTAAGTTTTAAAATACATAATTGAAAATTAATATTATATCATGGTACAGCTGGTGTTAAACACCATATTGGCTGACAGCATATAGCAGTATACTAATTACAACACTATTCTCACCATAGACTACCCACACACTATTCTCACTACAAACTACCAATACAAGATTTTTACTATAATCTACTCATAAAAAATTCTGACCACATTACTCCCAGATATTCTCATTATAAACTATCCATGTACTATAATTACTACAAACCACCCACCCACCCACTATTTATTACAAACATCCCATAAGTATTTCCACTGATACAATGTATACACTTTTTTCACTATAAAATACCCACATATTATATGCATTAAAGACTATTCTGACACTACTTTTACTACAAACTCTTCAGATGTTGTAATTTTAACACATACCATCAAAACACATTTCTCACTACAGACCTCCCAGTCACTATTTGGAGTACTCAGATATTATTTTTATATATTCTGTCCAAAAAGTGTTATGACCACAGACTGCCCAGGTACTATTCTCACTATAAACTATCCATACATTTTAATTGTACTACTAACTACCTAGACATTAGTGTTATTACTATCCACTCAGTCACTATTCTCACTACAGGTCTACCAAGATACTATTATCATTTTAAGTTATCCAAATATTATCTCACTACAGACCACCCAGACACCATTTTCACTACAGATTACCTAAACACTATTTTCATTACAGAACACTCAAGACGGTACTTTTATTACAGACTACTCAGATGCTGTTTTCACTGAAGACTACCCATACACTATAATCTAATAATAAACCATTTATTCATTATAATCTCACACCAGACATTGTAAATTCACACAGACCTTACATATATTTTGTTATCACTGAAGTGGCCTAATCTTTGACTATTTAGATGTAGTTCTTCCATTGACTGCTTAGTCACAGTGATTGGATCACTGACTCATGATACACATTAATTTTGAGTAACCCTTGAGACATTCTATTTTGTATTTATTGACACAATGGTTTTATCACCAATTAGTGAAATGTCATCATTTAATTTCAAATTACCAAAACTGTAATTTGAGACCTAATGACTGAAACACTATAGTTTTATCATTGTTTGATTAGTCAATTAAATATGTACCAGTTATAATTTAATCTCATAAATTGCCAAGAAATTGTATTAAAAGATTTGAATTAGCATCTAAAATGTTACAATTATTATTATGTTTAAATACTCTTATTTTATTTAGGCATTTATATTTCAGTAGATTTTTGTTTTTTGTAAAAAATTTTTTTCAGATTTTCCCTACTTTCTAAAGATAAATTGTCTGAAGAAAGACTCTCACCATCTATTAGCACCAACTTTGTTTCGATGATAGCTTACAATAACTCCAAACTTTGTAATATCCTTTTTTCCAATGAACTCAATCGAAGACTTTTATCTAAAGGAGTCCTTAGCAATGCTGTTCATCCTGGAAATCTTGTTTGCAGTAATTTATCACGTAATTGGTGGTGTTATAGATTATTGTTTACTTTAGTGAGGCCTTTTACTAAGTCTTTGGTAAGTAATCTTATTAACATACTAAATCATCTTACACTTTTACTTGATAAATAAGTTTTATCATTATCACTTGTTTTTATTTAATTTTATATTTTTGCAACAATTCTAGTTTGTAATTTGATATTATTTGCTTATGGAAATGAGATACATTTCTTAAGGTTTGTAACAATTTATCTTCATAAATTATTATGCTTGTGTTAAGGTCAGCCTTGAAATAATATATCTGCTGATGTTAAGTCTCCATCTAAGTTTTTATGTTTTATTCAAGATAGATTTATTATCCTGTGCTTGAGACCTTAAATGTAAATGGCCAGTTCCATGAAAAACTAATATGTGCAAACTTCATCTTTCAAATTAGTGCAGCTAATATTATAGATTTACAAGTGAAAGAAATGGTGGATGCAGCACTACATAAAGCTTGAACTTACTGTGAACCTTAAATTATAATTGTATCTTTTTGTTTTATGGTAAATTAACTTATTAACTGATATAGAAAGTATATCTTATCATAGATGATGATCTTGGCAGGGATAAAAATACTTGAATTTTGGTGCTGTCCTTAAAAAATGGATAGCATCAAATAATGTTATCTAAGATTGACTATTAAGATGTAATGTAAATGCTTTACTTAAGCATTGTAATAAAAAAATCAGTTTAACAACTTCATCAATACCTTCTAAACTATTCCATTATTGAATACAGTTTTTCTTTAGCAACAGGCTGCAGCTACTAGTGTCTACTGTGCAACAGCACCAGAGTTGGATGATGTTGGAGGGATGTATTTTAACAACTGCTGTAGATGCCAGCCTTCCAAAAGTGCTGAAGACACAGATTTTGCTAAAGAACTATGGACCTTAAGTAATAATATTATCAGAGTTGTTCTACAGAAAAAAATATTTTGTATTGATCAAATGAAAGTTTAAATTAATCAAATAAAAGCTATACTTTATTCTTTGATTAATACTTCTTAGTAAATCTGCTAAAGGTTCCTTTTCCACCACTAGCATACGTGCAATGAAACATCCCAGTATGCTAGTGGTATTTTCTAAAACTTGATTCATTGCAGGCTTATGATATTTTTGTACCAAATAGCTTGATTTTCCATGTAAAACTTGCAGCAAAACCACTGAAAGGAATCACACAATCATAAATTTACATAAGGTTTATTTCTCTGTTCTGTAATCTACCAAGAGAAATATGGAGCTAAATATACATATACCACTAAATGACAACAAGGGACCTTTCAATCCATCTAGGCCATCCTTAGAGCCAGCCCTTATCACTCAACTATTTATCAAGCTTTCCCTTAAACTCTTAAATTAACTGCATTTGCCACAACCAAAAGTAACCCATTCCAAAAGCCAACCACCCTGTTAAAAAAATAAAGCTTAGATGAAGATGACTCCTAACCTCCCAAAAATTATAGTTGCCTCCTGATCTTACCATTAAATACTAGTAAGATGATGCATCAACACTATCAATTTCCTTAACAATCTTAGACATCTCAAAAATTATATTCAAAATTTAAATTGTGAAACCCTACATGCATAAGCTTGTATTTATCAGGCAGGCAGTAGCATTACCTATGTAGGGATGACCCGGATTGTTCATCAAAATGGTATTTTAAATATCTCCTCAGTAGGTCATGGTCATCATAACTTTATAATACTATATAGTGTTTCCTTTTGTAACAATATCTATGTAATGACTGAGTCACAAGTTCTGGCAGTGTTTGTAAGTATCATAGCAAAAAGTTTGAATTTCTTGTTCCTCATTCTGCTGCATCTTTTTTATTACATGATAACTCAAGAATGAAAACAATGGTGTCAAACAATTTCACTGAGGTGACATAATTTCAAACGAAGTATCCTCTTTCATAATTCTATTGTAAACAATGTTATCACTACCCCTTGAAGTTAGCTTTCCTACAGAAATTTGTTGTTTCTTTGAAAAGCTTCAATACAGGGTGAACGGAATTACCAGCCAATAATAGATAAACAATAAATATTACAGTTTGAACCTCATTGTATTTAGAACTTGGCTTTAAATACAACCTTCCAATATCTATTAAAACTACATTAAAAAAATTAAAGAAAAACTTTTCCAAAAAAAGAAGTAAATGTAGGGATGGCTAATATCAATCCTTCAAAAACAATGCAAACAAGGTAGTAGGGATTGCATTTGTATCATCCCAACATAACAGTGTAGTAACAGACAAAAATAAAATAAATTAAACTCAATTGTGATTGAATCGTTTTGTGTAAATTGCTATATGTTAATCAAAAAGAGCATAGGTCCTAGTACTGATACCTGAGGTGCCCTACTTGTGTCATTAATCTACTACTCAAGGACTTAGAAAAAAACTCTCATATCCAGTCATTAACTTCTTTCAAAACCCTTGGGTAAATATTATCTGGTCCACGAGTTTATTGTTCTTTTATCTTCCCTCTGCTCATAGAATACCTTTCCCCAACTTTTCTGTCCTGTATATGAGCAAATTTTTTCTTTGATATTCCCACCTAACATCACGTGTTTTATCATGAGACAGCTGATAGATAGCATGCAATGACTCTCCACTAATAGGAGTGTGGCAAAACTCCTAACTCTGTCTGGGCAGCTTAGCCCAACTTCACTTCTCGATTGGCACTCATGGTGTTGAGACGGGTTTTTCACTCGTGCTTTCCTTTAGGCAATTTTCAATCAGTTCCATATTTTTTTATGAGGACTTAGTTTTTTCTTTACATTTGCTACACTTGTGTTCCGAAATTTTAGTTAGTACACATTAGCATTATATGTCTTATAATATGTGATTCTTTTGAGTTCCCTGTTAAGACTTTTCTACATACACTGTTCGTTGAAATGGATTCTGAGTTTCACATTACAGCTACTACCACTGCTGTTCCTCTTACAGTTAAACTATCAGCAGGAGATTTAATGACCTTAATTTGCTAGGAATTTACCTTCATACAGGTTTTTATTTGCCTGTGAATTCTCCTCTCATGCATTGTTCAGGGGTACCTGAATGCAAGGTCTTGGATTTCAACAGCCTGTTGCCTTCCCATTCTGTGCCATACAGTCACGTTTAGCTCCAGTGGCCGTGGCCAGACCTCCTTCTCATTTCCTGGAGTTAATAAACTAGGTACGTTACATTTTGTCTTCGTTTTCCCCTTTCCTTTTAAGTAAGAAACCTTTGGGCCAATATCTTGTTCTTCCTACCTCACCAGATATTGGGGTTCATTCTATTAGGTTTGGGATCAGTATTCCTTAACCCCCACGTTACAGGGAAAACTGTGCTGTGACTGACAATGGGTCTGCTTTTTCTTTTTTGGACTCCCAGCAGTTGGATTCTCTTCAGCCTCGGTGGGGTACTGTTCCCACTACTTTAGTTTTCCCGTATCCACCTCACATTATCCACCATCCTTGGTTGGTACAGGTCTAGTGGGGCCAAGATTTTGCACTTTGCCACCATTTGGGAGTCCTTCACCACAGAACCTCGGGTTCTTTCCATAGGGCTTGTTCTTTGTTTTAGTTCCCCTCCTACCCTATCCCCATATCCTTCCCCACTCCTCGGAGTTCCATTTCCAGACAGTATCTTCCCAAGACAGTTTGGATCTTCTTCACCAGGGTGCTAAAGAACAGAGAGACCCTTCTCAGCCAGGTTTCTTTTCCCGTTTGTGTATAGCCTCCAAGAAGACCAAGGCCTGGCACCCTCTCATCGACCACTCTTCCTTGATATGCATCCTAGACCTTTCTTAATTTGCCATGGAGTCCTACTATCTCTTCGATTAGCTTTCACTCCTGGTCTTTGGATGACAAAGTTAGATGTCTTAGATACTTATCTCCACATTCCCATTTTCCCAACAACCCAGTTTTTCTTCATTTTGTCTATAGTGGTTGTGTTTCCCAATTCTAGGCTTCTTTTGGCTCCCTCATTTTTGTCGGGTTATCAAGGCCTTTGCCCATCTTTTCCAATACAGGAGCCTTCATTTCCACCATTATATGGATGTCTGGCTGCTTTTAACTCCTTCACGTACCATCTCTTCCCTTCACTCTCAGTTTCTTCTTCAAGTGGCCGCACAGGTAGGTTGGCTGGTCAAGGTGGAGAAGCCCTTTCTCTCCCCCACTGAATACCCTATTCATCTAGGGTTATTTTTTAATTCCCCTCTCAGCCAGGCCCACCATTCTACCCTTCACCTAATTTCTATGAAGCTTCTAATCAAGGTTTTTTTCCTCCTCCCCTTCTCAAATTGCAAGACAGGTTGTGTCTCTTTTTGGGAGTCAGGCTTCTTTGGAGGCCCTAATTCCCTCCTCCCCTCCCCCTCAGTCAAGACCGCATGTGACTTCTTCAGTGGGCTTTGCTATATCAGTGAAACCTGGTTTAGGATCTCTTAGAAATCCATCTCCCTGCTACCCTTCATGTGGAATTTATGTGACGTAGCTATTATAAACACCCGAAGAACAATTATAGCTGTATTTGTAATAGAACGTTACGAATAGCATTATCGCATTTTTTAAGACCAAACTCTTGTTCTTGAGTGTAGGAAATTTGAAAACTTAGAATACGGACAAGGTAAGTTATATTTGCAAACAATTGTTGGTTCTACGTGTTTTGCACCACTACCATCTGTTGGTGCATCTTGCATGTCGTTTCGAAAATTTTCTATATCTAGGTAATTTTTCAAGTGTTTATATCGTTTCAGGTTTCTTCACGTTCATTATCATTTTTGTGTTTTGCAAACAATTGTGTGTTCTACGTGTTTGTCACAAGTACCCCTGATTTTGCAAATTTTGAATCGCATGTGTTTTGTTCTCTTGAATTATTTATCGTTTATGTGTCTTTCCTACATCTAACTTTCTGTTGGCTTATTTTCCATGTTGTTTTAAAAAGTTTCGATAGTTTTTAAATTTTTCAAATGTTTATATCGCTTCCGGTTTCTTCACGTTAATTACTGTTTTTAACATTTTTTTACTCGTTTTTATTGCTTTCCGTGTTGTTCGTACCTCACTCTGGATACAAAACAATGGATACAAAAACACTTTATCATACGTAGTGAAACATGTGAGCTAGGAATAACACGCAAAGCAATAAACACGAGTAGAAAAATGTTTAAAACATTAATTAGCGTGAAGAAACTGGAAGCGTTAGAAACACTTGAAGAATTAAATAACTAGAGAAACTTTTCGAAGCGACATGGAAAATGCATTAATAGAGGGTTACATCAAAGAAACACATATATAAACGATAAATAACTCAAGAGAATAAACCATATGCGATTCAAAATTTGCAAACAAAAAATTAGTTTCGAAAAACACGTAGAATACACAATTGTTTGCAAAGATAACTAACGTTGTCCTTATTCTAAGCTTTCAAATTTCCTACCCTCAGGAACAAGAGTTTTATCTTAGAAAATGTGATAAGGCTATTCGTAATATTCTATTACGAGTGCACCTATAATCATTCATCGGCTGTTTGTAATCGGTAGGTCAGCACCATAACAATTATTGTTGTTCCAAATATCTTGTACCAATAGTGTTCAGAAATAAAGAGAAGGGACAGACAAAACACGTAGAACAAAAGCTAATTATAAAAAAATGATAGTTTGCTGTAGCAAACACTCTAAAACATATAGACATCACATAACTCGATACCTATGTACATAAAACATGAAAACGAAGCACAAAGAGATTTACCTGTACATAACACTGAAAATGGGGCATCATACTTAGAGATAGCACGTTAAAAGAGAGTAAGGTACGAATAACACGCATAGCTATAAATACGAGTAGAAAAATGTTTAAAACAGTAATTAACATGACGAAACTGGAAGCGATATAAACATTTCAAAAATTAAAAAACTATATAAACTTTTCAAAACGACTTGGAAAACGAACTAACTAAATTTGCAAAATCAAGGGTACTTGTGAAAAACACGTAGAACACACAATTGTTTGCATAG